GGAGAGAGAGAGAGAGAGAGAGAGAGAGAGAGAGAGAGAGAGATTGGTGGAGAAGAAAAGGAAATCGAGAATCACAAACCTCACACTTTCCACTAGAACTCACAAAGAGATTTAAGAGCTTTCTCCTCAAGAACTCACAAAGAGATCTAGAGGAGTTTTGGAACTCACAAAGAGATCACCAAGATAACTTTTCATTCATCAATAATCAACCCTCTTACATAAGAAAATGACCATATATATAGGCCTCAAAATGACAAAGAAAACAAAAGACTAAAATGCCCCTTGGGCTACAATAGCGATCAACTACCCATAAGGGCAAAAATAGAAAAACTGAAATAACATGATTAGTACATAAAATGCTAACACAAAAAATGCATCAAAAGTAAAGACTCTCCATCATGGCCATCGATCACATGCGTCACCTCTGATAAACGCATCGAAACCTCTTGTCGATGTCCCCATCAGTAATATTATATCAGCATAGGGGTGTAAACGAGTCGAGTCGAGTATTCGCCTAATTGAGCTAAGCTTGTTTAACGCTTGTTGTGCTCAAGCTTGTCTCGTTTGAAAATTTTTATGCTTGAGCTCGACTTGTTTACTCGAACTCGTTAAGAAAGCTCGAGCATGACTGGTGAAATAAATAAAAATATTGAGTATATATTTTATTATATTATTTTAAAATTAGATTTTAAATATATTTTAATTTAAACTAGCAGCTCAACAAGCTTACGAGCTGAGCCTAGCTGAGCTTGAGCTCGTATAATATACGAGCTCAAACTTGGGGCTTGATAAGCTCTACTCGTGAGCTTATTAACGAGTCGAGTTCGAGCTGGCTCATGACCCGGCTCGGCTTACTTCTACTCCTATATAGGCATATCATAGTAACCTTTGTACTTTCAAGTAATTGGAAACCATCAATTATTTTAGTGCACCCTTTAAACAATTGCATCTTGAACCCTCCCAATCAGCTATGACTTATGCATTTTAAGATGAAATCTATTCTTGCTAATACATTCTGACTTGGATAAGGTTTTCTTCTCCAAATCCATCAACATGTTTTGTCAAAATGCTAGCTTTGATGTGTGTTCCATCTATAGGTACCACACATTTCTAATTTTAGAGCATTATGTAACATGATAAATACATATTAAATAGTATAGCAAATAACTAAGCTTGTGTTTGTGCCTTTAAAAATGGCATAAATCAATTGTTTGAGTGCATCCTATATGGAGTTTGGAGGCCTGGAGTTAGATAGACAAGGAGAAACAGAGAGAGAGGAGCAACAAATTAATAAAATATTGATTTGTGGTTTGGGTTAATATTAGTTGGGCCAATTATGGGTACTCTAAGACGAGGAATTGAATTTGCGCTTTGGCATCTCGGGTATTTGTAGCACACTTCTACAGTCCTACTTTTATCTATTTGTTTGATGTGTAATAGAAATGTCACACTCATTTTTAATGACATGTATGTTTACCAATAATTTTTATTGATTATGCTTGTAATTAGCCGCCAGATGTTAAAGATGTGGATGCGCAATTCACGATGGAGGACTTTGAGACTGTTAAAATTATTGGAAAAGGAAGTGGCGGTGTTGTTCAACTTGTTCGGCACAAATTTACAGGAGCTTTGTTTGCCTTGAAGGTATTAGACGATGAATATTTTCCCACCAATTTATATGTTTTTTAATTGGTTACTTACAGAGGCAAATATTGTGCAATAGAAATATTATGAATGTTACATGTATCTTAGTTTGCCCATCCGGCGTAATATTGGAGTTCTATGAGGCATTTTCTAGCTCCAATTTGTTGGAATTTTTAATTGTTAGTAAAGGATAATGAAGTCTAAGAAAATGATCTTATATTATCTTTTTTAAGTAGTTAGTGCAAAGCATGCTTCTTGTGAATATATTCAGAAGAAATTGACAAGGATTTTTGCTATTCTTCTTTATTACACGTTAAGAGCATTTGATTCTGAATTCTCTTAAAGGGAGAGTTTAAATTATGTCCTGAAATAGCGATGATTTGATTTGCACATTAAATTATGACCTGAATGCTGCATGAACTTATTGTTTGGTAAACCTCTTTTATTGGTTGCATCATTATATAACAATACCATTTAACCAGAAGGTAAATGATAAAAAATATTGTTGACATTATTTTGTGTCAACTCAGCCCCGATTGAGCCGATTCGAGCCCGACTGGGCTCTATCAACTTGATAGAGCACCATCGAGCAAAATTTAACTCAAATTGGACCTCAATTTAATCAAATTAAATTTAACTTCCTCAAATTAAAATCAAATCGATCGAATCTGCCCAAAATCGGTTCAAATCAAACCCAATCAAGCCGCATCGAATCAAATTCGACGCCGATTCAATTCCAATTTCATAAAATTGGCTCGATCTGACCCAATTGGACCCAAATCGACCCAAACTGAGTCTAATCCGATTCGGGCTCAATTTCATCCCTAATTGATCAATTTGGGATAAATTGACTTCTCAAATATGAAATTTTAATCTAGGGATCATATTTCATCTGAAATCCCCCTCAATCTCATGTCAAATCCTTCGTTTAACTCAATGAGGGAGCTGGATTGGGCATTTTGGGTGACCGACCTGCTGGCCTCGCGATCTCCAAAAAACAAGAGGGAGAGGGAGGGCCATTTGACGCTCCCCATGCGTGTCTTCGTCCGTCCCCGCCAGACAGAGCGGAAGAGAGGGAGAGAGAAAGAGCCATTCAGTTCTAGCTTCATGCGTTTGACCCCTAAACCTGCCGAGCCCAACTTGCCTTCTTCTTGTGCCCGTCTAAGTGAAAAGAAGAGGCCGACAAGGGGCCTCTTGCGTGTAACCTAGCCAAGAGGGAGGGTCAGCTGAACCTACATGTGCTCCCTTGCCGTTGTTTTCTTCTTTCTTGAACCAAAAGAGGGAAATACCTCTCTGTTTTCCTCCATTTCTCCAAGCTGAAGAACATAGACTTGCTCTTCTCCCTCTCTCGAGCAAAAAGAGGGAGTGTAGGAGGATGGTGGAGACACTTCCCCCGACATTGACAAACGACATGGAGGTGTTTTGGAACCATTGGAGGTTGAAGGAGTGCGACAGGGAGTAACAAGAAACAAAGAAGTGTTGATCAGGTTGAAGGACGTACTAGAACATGAGACCATGTGGGAGTCCTACCGGGTTATTTAGTAGCAGTTCCCTTCATTCCACCTTGAGGACAAGTGATACTTTTGGGGGTGAGTATTAATACAACAGCAGCCCATAAGGGAGGGACTAAGGAAGAGCTAGATCGATCGGTCCAGTAGTTGGCGGACCAACAAGGGGCGAAACCTGGGCAAATTTTGGCTATTGTGGTGGTGCCCAACAAATTATTAATTCACTATGTTAGTAGAGGAATTAAGGAGGGAATTAATTAGGAAATATTTCTTAATTGAAGATGGTAGATTTGAGGGCTGATTTGGAGTGAATTAATTATGAGATGTTTTCTAATTAAAAAGGGTAGATTTTGGGGCTGATTTGGAGGGGATTAATTAGGAAATATTTTCTAATTGGAGAGGGTAGATTTGGGGGTTGATTTGAGAGGGAATTTGGATAGGGCTGTTTTGGAATTTGCTGTTTATTGTTTTCTATCAGTAGTAGTGTTTTCTATAAGTAGTACTGTTTATGTTATGTTTTGTATGCAGAATTTTGTGAGTGATTGCTATTTGCTATTTTTGTAAGGGATCCTAGTGGCGTTTAGGGTGGGAGAGAAGATCCTCATGTCGAAAGAGGATCATTGTATCTTATTTTTGCATGTTTCCGAGTTTATCAATAAAAATCTGTTGTTCGTTGAATTTTTCTTTGTTCGTTGGCTGTTTTTGATACCAAGGCATATCAGAATTACCAATTTATATAGCTAGATGATAAATTTCACAATCTAAAAGTCCTTCGAATTCTTGCCTGTGAATAGAGATGAATTAATTTTTTTTTAAGATAAGTAAAGTTTGGGTGTTGTAGGTTTAGAATTTGAAATGGGTTGTTTGGGTGGACACATTACTCATTATATAAATCCATATCTTACTTGAATGAGCATATTCTTTAGAAAATCCTGAATGCATCCCCACACTATTAATCGTCCTCGAATTCAGCCCTAAAAGTGACAAACATTAGAAGACAAATTAACAGCATAATTTGGCTCGAGTGAGTTTGCTGATTGATAATAACTTGCTACCTAAGATATGTACTAGAAGCACATATTTAGGTGTCAGACCTTTTGAGTGAATGATATAATCCGTTTTGACCACTTTTGATGGTGACCAATATATAATCTAGACATTATAATTTTAATTATGGAAGATATTCTTGTCTTCTATCATATGATATGACCCTCCCGAATATATTATTCAGATAATAATTTTCTTCCTGTTTGCAATGAGGGCATATGAGACATTACATTTTTGAGCAACCAAGTTTATTTCAGTGATGTTCAAGGATAAAATTATGCTGGGTGAATAGTTTGTTTTCTTCACTTTGCTTTTAAGATTGCTAAAGCAGGGAGGAGACAATTATTGTGATTTTTCTTTACGTTTATTCTCTTTGAAAAATTTTCAGTCTAATATTTCATTATGGATTTTTCATATTTTGGATCGAAATTTTTAATTTTGAGATTGATTTTCAACTTTCAAGTGGCAGAATTCTTAACCACCTGCTTTTTCATTATAATTGCCACTGTCTTCTTTCGAAGAGGATTCTTCGTATATATTTCTCCACTCTTGCTAGATGAAAATTGGGATTTAGTGTTGATGAAGAACCCATTGGGTTGGAGGGATTCCATGTTGAAGCACCCATCGACCTTACAGGAGGTAGAATCTTAATGTCAGAGAAAAATAGGATATTTTTCATTGAGTTTTATTCCACTGTTCAATGTAAAAAAATGATAAAAAAAGTTTCATACCAGGAAAGAAATAAATATTGAAACTAATCCTTAATTAGGGAATTTATAATTAACTGTTCAACATAAATGGAATGTTGGTGCCCACAAATTATCGGATTGTTGTTAATGATGAAAAGGCTGTCTTTCACGGATGCTTGGATTATTGTAGATGGAAAGCTATTATCTACTGATTGTTGTAGATAGAAAGATGTTGACCACAAATTTAAGATTATTTCAACATTTCTTTCCTATGACATGAGCGAACTTGAAGTGCTACACAAGCATGTGCGGACTTTTAATTCCTTTTTCCCAGTCCAATTCTAATAACCACATCCTTTAACCCACATAGTTTGTTGAAAAATAGCTTTGAGTTATATGCAAAATACGTTTAGAAGAACATTTTGCACACGCACCTTATTTATGACATGAAAATAAGTTCAACGTTCATTTGGACGGAGATATTTTTTTTACGCCCTCAAAATGACTAATTTGACCTTTTTGATGATTCAAATCTTGTATTGATCATTATTTCAAGTCCTTTATCTACAAGCTGCTTATCATACTTTTGACAAAAGTAAAGTCTAACCAATGATTAGAAGCTGGTGCCTGAAGCTAGTTTAAATTCTAAACTACTTGGATCTCCTACGTGAGAAATGTATGCAAGTTGTTATTTCTCCAACGTGTGATATTGTTGTGCTTCCCTGACTCATTACAGGCCTTGTATTTGGCAGGGTATCCAGATGAATATTCAGGAGACAGTCCGCAAACAGATTGTCCAAGAGATTAAAATAAATCAAGCCTCACAATGTCCCCATGTTGTTGTTTGTCGTCATTCATTCTACCATAATGGAATTATATCTCTTGTCCTCGAATACATGGATCGTGGTTCTCTTGCAGATATAATCAGACAAGTCAATACAATTCTTGAGCCTTATCTTGCAGTTCTCTGCAAACATGTAAGACAGGAATTGTTACATAAAATCCATTTTGCTACTTGTACAGTATTGAAACACATTATTTGTATTCAGGTTTTGAAAGGTCTTGTGTATCTTCACCATGAAAGACGTGTAATTCATAGGGATATAAAGCCATCCAACTTGTTAGTGAATCACAAAGGCGAAGTAAAGATAACCGACTTTGGTGTGAGTGCAGTGCTTGGTAGCTCCATGGGGCAGCGAGATACATTTGTGGGTACCTACAATTATATGGCGGTACGTTTAAATTGTCTTGTTTGGCTTATTGATGGAAGCCATTTCCTTCACCAGTAAATTCTCACTTACCCTACTTTTTTCTCAGCTTTTAACACTTCTTTGTTGATCTTGTTCGTGTATGTCAGCCTGAGCGGATTAGTGGAGGTTCATATGATTTTAAAAGTGATATTTGGAGTTTGGGTCTTGTTATACTTGAGTGTGCTATAGGCTGTTTTCCTTATAGGCAGATTGGAAATGACGAAGGCCCATTGAGCTTTTATGAGCTTCTAGAATCTATTGTAGAAGAACCACCACCTAGTGCTCCATCAGATCAATTCTCACCGGAGTTCTGTTCATTCATATCTTCTTGGTAAGTTCAACATTCTCATATGCTGCCTGTAAATCCTTAACTTTTTTTACTTCGATTCATTTGTTGGCATGTATCTTTTAAATCTCAAACCAATACTTCTCTTTGTCGATTGTTCATTGGTTTTATTGTCTATGACTTGCAATTAATAAATTAGTACATAAAACCTGTTATATGGGCACACGCTAGCAGAACTTGACTGAAGTTCTGATTTCAAAATTTGATTTAAGAGGTCCCAATGATGCGGAAACATGTATTACTCAGAGACTTTTTGAAATTATCGTAACTTGCTTATGTAGACAAATATGCTCAAAACAAAAAATTTTTAATGGACTTGAGAAATGATGCTCATGTAAGGAATTACTATATTCTGAAATGTTTATCTTGTTTTCTGTCTTCTGAATATGAAGATATTACTCGGTACCAATCTCATCAAAATTTTGCAAAAACAAACGTCAGATCACATATTCTAGCTTTCAAGAGTGCCGCCAGGTTGATTGTATCATTGTTGCCACACTCTGTACATAAAAAAGGATTTTGGTACCCCAAAAAACTTAAGGTTTTCTTGTCTGAATATGAAGATATTACTTGATCAAGACTTTGACAGATTTTACACATTATGTCTAAGATCTTAGTCTTATTTTATTTCATTTTAAAATTTGTCTTTGAATCTCTTCCTACCTCCATTTGGAACCCTGCTTCTTTTTTGGCAATTTATTATCTTCTTCTTAATGTGGAATGGCCTCCACTTGGCATCCATTTAGGCCGAGGATATGATGGGTTACTTCGCTGTAGCAGTTGGTTAATCTCTGGCAAACGAAAATTCCAGCCCCTTAGCTTCATTAATATGTAAAACTACTTTAATAAAATGGATTTCTAGAAGCTCTCTAAAAGGAAAATGTTTTCTTAGCATTGGAACCTGTGTTTTATTTTGGTTTCTTCTTATGATTTTTTGCAGCATTCAGAAAGATCCTCATCATAGAATGTCCAGCTTGGAACTTCTGGTTAGTGTTCAAATTTGAGTTATAGAAGTTTTCCTTCTATTAAGGCTTCGTTTAAGACAGCTTTCTAATACAAAAATTAAAATTTTTATACTAAAAGACTGCTTTAAGAAGCAGTAAAAAAGTTGTTTCAAACGAAACTTAAGGCTTCCATTTTTATTAGCTACTCTTGATTTGATTGCAGAGTCATCCATTCATTAAGAAGTTTGAGGACAAAGACATTGATTTAGGGATCCTTGTCAACAGCTTAGATCCTCCTGTAAATTTTCTCGACTAGGACATTGCTACATGAATATTTCTTTGCAAAATGAGCTTTACAACCATAAATAGAAATGAATGGTGATGTATCACTATGGAATCATATAAGGACTTCGAAAATTAGCTTCTTGGATGTGACTTGGGCATGCAGGTCTAACATTTTTGTCAATTTCTGTGGATGAAGCTATTTTTTTTTTCTGTGGCAAATTATTGCATCCGGTCACCGGACGGGAAGATAGGTTCGGATATTAATAAAATATTATTTTAAATTAAGCACGTCAAAAGCGCAGTCAAAGCGTAAGTCAAAAGCGCAGGTGACGTGGCAAGTTTTTATTGGATGTTCAAACCTATTCTCCGCATCCGGTGACCGGATGCAATAATTTGCCCAAAACTAGGAGATTTCGGTGGCAAGAAAACCATGTTCATGCGATTATATTGTTGTTTTGAATTTAAAGTTTCACTTCCCACCCCTCCACTTCTCTTTTGTAATACAAAGCGGATTTAAGAAGCAGGAAGAAAGCCGCCCAATTTTTATATTAGAAAACAGCTTTAAAAAGCAGTAAGAAAGCAATCCTAAATAAAAATTATGAAAATGTTCTAAAAGGCAATGCATAAGAAAGTTGTCTCAAATGAAACCTTAATGACCATTGATCTTCTTTAAGAAGTTGACGTGATGAATCACAAAATTTGAACTCATGATATTTTAGGGAAGATACTATGCTTATAAGATTAATCATAAAATTTAAGCTTTTGAGAGGGGTGAAATTTTTTGTTCATGTTGCATTGGCTGAATATTGAATCCTAGACCAATACTTCAAAAATAAAATAAAAAATATTCTGCATGAGTTCAAGACCATTTAATTTTAGAAAAGCTTAATATTGTACGAGGCCTCATTCTACCATTTTTACATATGAAAAACTAACAATATTAGATCTCGAAAAACAAAATATAATGAAATTATTGATTGAAAATTTTCATAATCTCAGCATGAATAAAAATGAATATTAATAATTTTTAAAATTATTATTTTATTAAAGTTATTGTGATTATTAAAAAATATGTTTTTTTATAATAAATCAGATAATAATTTTCTTATAATTATTATATTATAATAGGCCGAATTATAAAAAATAGATTTCCTCCGCATACTATTGCTTTCCTTTTGAATGAGATGTCCACATATATTCAATTTAGTCTCACATTTATGTCTACTACAAATGGATTTTAAGTGTAGATTATAGGGCAAAGGATGATGATCTAAGGTTAGTGAGTTGACCATCTTTTACTAATTGAATGATTGATGAAGGTGATTCTACGAACATATATGTTATAGATATGATGATGTTTTGGACATATAAAATGTAGATTATGGTGGCTCCATGGATGCTTCAATACTAAAGCTTCAGATATATATTACAACTCACTTTGTGATATGCATCAAACTCATAAATGAATGAGGCCTTTCGATTTTTCATGTATGTTGAGGCTGAAATCAATAATTCATGATATGGAATACTCATAAAAACTCGTATTTTACAAAGGTTGGTGCTTAAAAGTACCTTAAATACAATGATTTGTGACTTAGTTACCTCATGCTCAAGCATGTCCTCAATGCATTTATGTATTAGGCAAGATAAGTTAAAGTGGAAGTTATATCTATATGCAATGACGATGAACTTTCAATTCTAGGTGAATAAATCAGGAAAAGATATTTGGTATATTCATTGTGCTTTCAAAAATATTCATGAAATGTACAAACTGTAAAGTTAACAAAATCAATCATGTTTAAGTTAAAGGAGACATCAATCATAATATATATTTTGAATGTTAACTTAAAATAATACCATAAAGCTCAACCATAGCTTATTGGATATAAAATAAAGGAAAAGATCCTTGGATCGAATCCTATCCAAAGATGATAATAACATAAGTTAGAAGATACTACAGCATTGATCTGCATATGAAAAAAGTTGGCAATGTCCTAAGCAAGCTATCACATATGTAAAGCATTTTGAATTATCATCATATATGATTATGCTAAATATAAAGAATTTATGAATAATTATTTATCTCTGGCTTGCCGCTTCAAAATGTTTAAACATGTTTACTTCTATTTAGTTTGTTGCATACAATGCTTCAAAAGTGCATGCCTTGTAGTTTTAAGTGTGGATTGTACTTTTTAAATACGTAATGTATATGTGTTTTACTATTGACAATGGTGCAATATGTAAATACCTAGATTTACTGGTAACATTTGTAGTTGTTGACTATAAATAGTAATTTGCCGATGCATTTCATGATTGGATTCATAAACTCAATAGGCCTTGTTGAAAACTTAATTTTTGCATTTGATAGATATAATAATATTTCGAATGCTTTATTTATCATATTTTTAGAGGTACATTATGGAGCTTGCACTCATCATAATATTCATAATAAATTTTAAAAATGACAGTTGTTATCATGAATGTCAAATGGCTTCCAATGAATAACCTAACCATAGTTGTCTGCCTATAAAATGAAATTAGCTTTGATAGATGTGCTATGATTTTTTTTCTCTTGAAACAAATTCAACTTAATGATAGTTGATTTTTCAAAGAATTTTAATAATATTACAAAACATGCATGTTCATATTCAATAATCATTTTATTAAAGTTCTTCAATCCCACAATTAGAAATAATTCTTTAATTGATGCTTTATTGCATCATATAACAAAATTAATTTGGCAAAAAATTACATTTAGCAAGATTTTAAATTAGGCTTAAGCATTAATTATTTATCTAATTAGTCAATGTGATATGCGTGCCCTAGGTGAGAATATATATATATATATATATATATATATATATATATGATAATTTAATATGGAGAGCCTAATGTGCGAACATACATTGGCTGTAAATCTGGATCATGTTGTTAGTTATTATGACTTATACTCATATGAAATTAAGAGTGATGTCATGGTACTCTTAATAGTGAAGCTAAGCATTGGTTGTCCAAAAAAGAACAATTGATTTTTAAAATAAGAGAAAGATGCAATGTAATGTAAATGTAACTGAAGTTAGGTGAAAGACCATAATAATGCTACTTGTAAGGTCAAGTGCTTGTCGCCTTCATAAAAATTATAATTTTATTTTCATTATTATAGTTACTATTACAGGCTAGAATATATGCGGTGATAGAGTTAGAAATTTTTGTTTTAGTATTGTATGGATATCCAACACACAAACAGAAGAAAAAAAAATAAGCAACAAAATTTTACGTGAAAAATCCTAGAAAAGGAAAAAACCACGGGTTCACGCCCAGTTGAAATAATTCAACTAGAGTTTGATTGGATCACATGTGACTGACTCATCCCTGAAATTAAGGATGATCAAATTATAATAATCAATCGTCGGGTTGAAAACCAATTACATACGGAAATCTAAAAAATGGCGACGCTTTGTGGTCGGGCTAAAATCCGTCTTTAATTGACGGTTGGGCAGAAATCCGGCATTAGTCGGCTGTCGGGAAGAACTCTGTTGTCAATCGACGGTCGTGCAGAAGTCTGACGTGATTCGGTGGCCGAGCAAACTTTATCGTCAATTGGCGGCCGGGCAAAACTCTAGTGTTAGTTGGCTGTCAGGCAAAACTCCAACGTCAGTTGGCGGCTAGGCAGAAGTCTGGCGTCAGTCGTCAGTCGGGCAGAACTCCGGTGTCAGTTGGTAGCCAGACAGAAGCTTGGCATCAATCGTCGGTTGGGAGATACTCCAACGTTGATTGGTTGTCGGGCAGAAGTCCATCGTTAGTTGGCTGCCAGGTTGAAGTCTGACGATGGTTGAGGAGGTGTCTGGTGCAAGAGAACTCAAGTTTATCTTCTCCCTTGTCTTCCTTCTCTTCTCTTCTAGCTTGGATCCTCTCTCACAAGAAATAAGGGGTCTATTTATAATTTTCTAAGAGTGTCATGACCAGTAAATAAGAGGAAAATTAAGGGTAAATTGAGAGTGGTTTGAATGGACGGCCGATATTGAATCCCTTGATTGTGAAATGTTTACTAGGCATTTTAATGTCTGAATGATATCAAAATTTGACGATCTTGTGCTCGTTGGATTTGTCTCGCCAAGTCGCTTGATTCGACTCTAAGCATGTCACATTTGAAAATTGTTTGGTAATCCAAATTATAGATTAAACCTTCTAAATGCATTTTGGGTCATTGATTTAGACTTCATTTGCGCTTGGATTGAGTCGAATTTGGCGTCGTTGGGTTTGTATTTCCGAGATGTTCAGTTTAACTATAAGTTTGCATAAATCGGAGTTCAGATGTTCCCAAATTTAATTTTGAAGTTTCCAACTTAATTTTGCTTCGAGATTCGTGCCCGATCAAGATAAATTTTTGATGATGTATAAGTTACAATATTAAACTTATATTTGATGTAAGTAGGCTTTTCTTTCTACTTTGATGACCAGTCATAAATCTATGTTCTAATGAGTGATTTTATTGAATGAAATTTCTTGATTAATATCACTATCTAGTTCTACTTGATGCTATAATGGTTTTCATTATAATGATAGGGGGGGGGGGACTCATTATAAAAAAATAAATATTTAAAATTATATATATAAGTTAACTTTGTAAGCAAAGTCTTGTAATAATTTATGAAATTTAAAATAAGTATAAGTTTTTTTATTCTATTTTCATTTTATGATAATGTTATATAATAATTTCATTGAGAGCATAGTCAAATACTTCATTCTCGATGTATAGTAATTAGTGGTCATTGAGCCAGACATCACGCATTTTGCTATACAATTGATGCTTGATAATCTTCATTACAGAAAATGCTCTATTAATTGTAGCAGTAGCGACTGGTAAAGACAGTGTCAAAATATCAATGTTAGTCAAATATGTAAACTTGATGATTGTACGCATATAAATAATATAAGTTCAAGAAACACAAGATCAACCATAGGAAAATCTGTTGGATATAACTTTGCAAGACGAATTAAATTTCTCTTATCATAAACATATTAGATATTATTTGGGTTTAGACATGTCACACAAAGAACTAGCTCAATACTAATTTTTAAAAGATGATTATTCAGTTCCTTAAGTTGTATATTAATAATAATATAAATAAATCAAATTGATAATGATGGAAGTTTATTATTTCTTTACATTTTCGTACTTATTGTCAGTGAGCTTTAAATATAGAGTTTATATTTTAAACTTCAATATCAAAAACACAACAAAAATGTGACACTTTTTTCAGTAAAGGCTCCTATCTATTTTTTCTCATCACTTGTAATCGTTGCTTGGACAATTATACCAATTTTATTGCATTTATAATATATTGATCATTTCTTTTAAGGATTGTGATAATTTATTTGTAATTTCTAAAATATCAATAATTAATACAGTGATAGTACAAAGTTATAAGACTTTATAATATATATTAAAACCCCATCTTCAACTGACTATTAATCATGTATTTCATTTTTCTTGACAATTTCAAACACTTCGAGTACAGAAACATGCATTTTCATAAGACCGAATAGGATTTGAAAATGCAAACTTTAACAGGTGTCTCTATCGTGTTGTGAATTAGTTTTTTGGTTAAAATCTAGATCACTAATTAACTCCCCAGTACTCAGATGAAAAATTATTTTATAACACTGAATTGCTTTCAGAGTATCATTCCTCTGGCATGAAGCTTCACCAATGTTTGGAATTTTAAAAGTAATCTCAAATAAATATTTTGTTTGCCTATGATTCTTAGCTAAAAAAAATATTTGAGGCACACCACATAAAAAATATAAGATAAACAAGTACACAATAGACTCGTTAACAATTCAAATAATATAATCAGTTCTTTTTATCTTTTTTTCTTCCATTTCCCTTCACAGCAGTCATTATTTAACCAAAAAAAACACCAACAAAACACTATTCCATTGCCAACATAAATTAAAAAGTTTCGGCCTTTGCTAAATAGCAGGAATCGTAAAGGAAGCAATCAAGCAAACTAGCAGGCCAAATTAATGGCAATAGAGGAGTTAAATGTCACAACTCTCAAAAGAAAAGCAAATAAACACATAAAAAATATGAAAACAATATCAAAATCAGTAAACCACCGATTCAAATTTACAGGAAATGGGAATCATTCATCATCAACAAGGAACCAAATAAGAGAGCAATCATTGTTCGAACCACGTCAAACTAAAATTAGAAGTTAACCATGCAAGTATAAATTACAGAGAAGGAATAAAGGAACCTTAAGAAACATACCTTACAACAGGACTGCAGGATAACGACAAGAATGAAGCATGCAATAAGACTGAAGTGTAAGCGAGATTAGTTGTGTGAACAGAGATGAGATCATGAGAAGCGTAATCGGGAGCATCCTCAAGTTCAAGCCCTTGCATGCCTTCTTTGTGTCGCGTGCATGAAGATAATTATCGCATGCATGAAGCTAAAGGGGAACGACGAACATCGGGAGTTGGACAAATGGCTTAGATTAGGGCAGGGGGGGGGATGTTCCAAAATTACACCCTTTCTATTCATTTTTATGATTTGAGGGAGGGCAATTGTTTCCCACCAACAGTGCCACATGGTTCTACCAGTGGTGATGATACAATGCTTATGTTAAACTCCAAAATATTTAAACTAATGCAATGCCTTATTGAAATTTAGTTCAAACATGTTCGAATCGTGCTTAATGCAATTTGAATATTCACGTTCAAATAAAGAATTCAAACAACTTTTCCAACCCGTTTCAAAGCTCAAACTTTGCTAGATCTTGTTTGAATATTGATTGAATCTTCTTCAATCATGTTATATACTCAGTCAAATATTATTTGGATATTATTCAAATCTTTATTTGAATTCCGTTTGAATTTGAGCTAATTGTAATCAATTTTATTCACAATAGTCTCCTAAACTAATATATATATATATATAGCTAGAAGCCAAAACACATTTTAACAATATTCAAATAATGTATTTATTTTGATTAGAAAATTTTTATTAAAAAATCAGTCTATTATAAATTTATAATTGTAAGGGTCGTATAAAGTTAAATTTCCGGGTTGCCTTTCTAGCCGCACCGTTGGTTGTTGATCCATGCCATTCTCATGATGAAAGCGGACGTTGGATTGGCGTCCCGCATAATGATTCCATGCGGACATCCCCTCTCTTACGGTCCTAAGCTAAGCTCTCCACCGCACCGAATTTAGAACCCCGGTGCTGCCCTTGATTTCAGAAACCCACACGCCTTCGATGTTAGAACAGTTTCCTTCTCAGATTTTTTTTTCGTAATTCAATATTTTCTCTTGCTTTGATCTCCTCGATTCTCGCTATAGAGAGGAGAGCATTACAGGGATAGGGTGAAAGATGAAGGAAGAGGTCATAAGTTCTGGAACGGTGGAAGCCGTGGCGCTCGCCAGATCTTCTTCTCCTCCGACTCCAGCTGCAAAGTATGCCTCTGCTATTTCTAATAATCTCCGGATGCTTCTTTTCTTCTAATTTGTGTTATCTACCGAGTCGGGAATCTTTTGCGTCATGCCCTAGAATAAATTTAATGATAGGTATTTTTCAGCTCAAGCACATCCTCAATAAGAAAACCTATTATTGGGGTCTAGCTTTTGTGCTTTAGTGGAGTTCTGCAAAGTTGAAACAATCAATTGTTGTAATTCAGAGATTAATTTACCATTTCTTGGAATGAGCTGGATTGTGTTTAGTACTAGGGTTTCATTGCTCAGATTTCATGATGGAGTAGAAATCATTCTTCTTTCGATTAAAGTTTTTTCTTTTATAAATTTTTGAAGTTCTAGCCTGGAATACCTTAGCGGAGACTTAAGCTTTTGAACTTGCGAGACCTTTTGAAGAAAAAAACACAACTAATTTTCCTACAATTAAATGATAAATGTGAACCTGCTGAACTTTTTTATCACTCTCTTTTATAGGGTTGTTTTGGTATATGAATTTTGAAGCATTCGTGGTGAGCCTGCCAATCATATTATCTCTTTCTATGTAAACATTATTATTAGCGAGTTGCAATACTTGATATTTATACTTCACTGATGGTGTCAGCATTGGTTTATTTGATCAGGTTTGGCCATTTCCCGATAATAAGTATTTTTGTTACTAGGAGTTTATGAGTTGACACGCTCTTTTGGTAATGTGGCCATATGTGCAACCTAATTTATGCATAGTGATCCTTGACTCCTAAACTCTTTTGGGATTAGGCATAACTAACATAATGATGCAAAATAATAAAAGATAGCTTGGTGTTATATTGCTTAAACTTGTTTATTTTCTTTCTTTATTGAACTTAATATGACCCCCAACAAACCTATTGATTTAGGAATTCTTATGTTTTACGGTTTGTAACACATGTCCATTACATGGAAAAAACCTTTCAGCAAGAGCAAAAAGAAATTCACAAGCCAAAAACTCTTAATATTGAAAGCTATTCGCTACTTTGTGGAAACCTAACATATGAAAGAAATCAATTCATATGAAATAATACATTGAAATTTAGAGTCGAGGAGGCCATTCATGAGTTAAAACACACTCATTGAAACCCAAATTGTAGAAAATTTAAGTAAAATTAACAATAGTCAATTGAATAATAAAATTTAGAGCAGGTAATATAATGCGGAAGTAAAGTAGAGATAAGTTAAAAAACTGAATAAGGAGATAATCACCCCCAACAAAATTTCAAATTTCATTCTTTAAGTATTTGACTCCTATAAGGGGAAAGAATAATACATCCAACTAGAATCATATTTAAAACCAAAATAAATTGATTTTGTACTAGTCTTTAGAACGCCATTTATAATTACAAAATCTTTGGGAATCCCTGGTTGTTGATCACAAGAACACCAAAAGTAACATGCATCAATTACCAAAGACATAGTCCCTTAGTCTATGATGCACAAACAAAGACACGACGACATATATTTGACACGAAACAGACAAGGGATGCGTCAATTATTGAAAATATAGGACACATACACGGGTTGGATATGATATTATAATTTTTATACTTTAAAAATAGTATAAAAATTGAATAAATATAATATTAAAAATAATTTAGAAATAATAAGTCATCTAACTATAATTTGTGTTTAAAATGATTAATATTAGGATGTCGAGCGTCAGACGTTGATGCTGTGTATCAAGCATCGAGAGAGGAGACGACAATGCTGTTGAGAGTCGGGCATCAATGTTATGTAGTAAATATTGGGCGTCAATGTTAAGAGAGCGTTTGTCGTCGATGTTGAGAGGGTGTTGGTCATCGATGTTAAAAAGATGTCAGACAAAGATGAGTTGACAAGTTGTGGGTGTAGAAATTGCTAGCGTCCATTATCAATTTCAAGATAGTGTCAGACTTTGATGTGGAGATGGTTTTGAAATGTCAATGTTGTAATGACGTCAGATGTCGATGTTGAGATGATATCAGACATTGTTGTGAAACCAAAGTCTCAACCCGCCAAAGAGAAATGAAAATAAGAATATTCGATGAATGAGGTATTGAGTGCGGGCGATTGATTTGACATTCTGGATAGGAAATAAGAAATTTAGTTTTTATATTTCAAATAAATAACATTTTAAATACAAGAAGTTATATTTAAAATAATTCATAAAATATTTAAGACACGCATGTCCAATTTATATTTTTTTTTAATCGAACATATTTTGGCCTGTCCGGCACATATCGGAGGAGTGTTGGACGCTTGTCGTGTCGGGTACATGTCGAACACTGCACGTTTCTTTGAGAAGAAGTGTCGGTGCATCGTAGACCTTAGTAGTAGAGGAAGCTAGAAGTTGTAAGTGAGAATATTCTTGTAATAAAATAATAAAAAAATAAAAAAATGCTAATAAATGACGCATTTCAATCAAAAGATCTCAAGTTTAACAAGAAGTCTATAGATATTGCACTCGATAAGGTGGTGGAAACTCGTAAATTGTGAAGCACGATAATAAGAATCTCATGGGAATAAATCCAACGATGTTGAGGAGACATATGAGGTAATGAAAAAGATCAAATGGCAGAGTAAAAAATCACCATATAAACAATCACAAAGAAGGTTTGTAGTCCATAGGTAATAGCCACAATAGTTAATGAACCAAAAATCCAAAGATAGCGTGAGCGTTGCAAAGAAGAGGAAGAGAGGAGGAGGGTTGCATAAATTATATCCGACTTGAAAAGTTTGACATAAATGAAATGCTAATTTGACATTCTTTAAATAGATTAAGGCTTAGTTTTTATATTTGGTTGAAATATCTGTAAATAATCACATGTGAGCATGTGTCTCAGTGGTAGATGACGCTTTTACTATCCATCATTTATACTGAACACAATTTCTTCTCGAATAATATCTTTAGGAATAATATCTTTAGGAATAAGTCAGTATGATAGCTTGAGTAATACACAAATGATAAATTCAATGTTAAATTTCAAAGAGGGTGTGAAAGGAGAAGAATGCAATGCATTGGTTCATGTTTCACAATATAAAATTAAATCAAATACATTAAAAATTGGAGTGGCACTAGAATTTGTTGGAATTTTAAACTTGTTAAGTATTTGTCCAAATTTGTTGCTTGAATTTATATGGTCTATTTTCTATATGTTAATTTCTTTAGTATTTATGCAAAAATCGTTCATGTTTTATTGGAATCATTATCCTATCACCTGATTTGAATTCCATTGTCCAATTCACATTTGTAGTATGTTGTAATTGTTATAATTAGAAGTTTCTTGTGAATGCTTTCATGCTAATTACTAATTGATTTTTTGATATGAGATGTATAATGTTAATGTTATTTTTCATAAGAAACACAATAACTAAGTTTAAAAGGAGAAGATTAGGAAAAATCAAAATCTATATTTGATTATTCCATATCTATACTACTATATAAAAGTGGCTTGGGATTCCACCCATAGCAAATCTTGACTGTTCATTTATAAACATAAAATTAAATCTATACCATTCATTTATAACTCTTCATATTCTTTATTTTTAGGTTCCTCAAAAACATTTCTTCAATCATTAATAACTTTAATTTTACATCCCAATTCCCAACTCAAACATTTGAGTTGCTTCATCCTAACGTTTCACCAAAATATTTTGGTTCAAACCAAACATTTAAGTATTCTTATTCCTATTGTCGCACGGCTCTATACTAAAGAAAAACACTAGCCGAACATTTACAGTCGAGCGTGTCATATCCGGCCATTTCACTTCCCATTGCCGCATCGTATGAACGTTTGATCTCCTAGCAATTATTATTTCCAGGAGCGTTTCGATCGGTTATCTGATGAAAAAAATAAAAAATGAACGAAGAGAAACTTCCACCCACTTTGGCTATTCTACCCCTCACCGGCAATTTTTTTGCGTTGGGAGTTCGCTGCGAACGTGACGATCCTTCTTTGTTCCTATTCCTATTGGCTCATAACCTGTTATTTGGACTTTGAATGAAGTATTCTAGGCCTTGCCAAGGGAAATAAATTCCTTCTAGCCAGCTCACTGCAAAATGGATACTTCGCTGCTTCTTCGGCTTCGTTGGTCCTGTCAGAGCTGCTGCTTCTTCGCCTTCGTTGCTCGGAAGTCGCGTCGAGAGTTTGCAATGACGGTAACGATCCTTCTTTGTTCCTGTTCCTCTATTAAAACAAAAATAAACTAAAAACATTAATGCATCAGATTTCGAATTGATATTAGTCCTAACTCAAACTAAACTCAAGTCACCTATTAACATGTTCATCGGTCAAATCCAAACTCACCAATCAAACCCCATATATGTTTTAGGCATAAAGCTTGGTGTCATACTAATACTCATGATCAATTGATAGCCATGTCATGTCTTTGAGCTTTTGTATGTTGTGTTGAACAATTTTGAATTGCAAATGGTATGCGGCCTAAACTATTAAATGAAACGAGTACATTAATCCCTCTACTAGTAAATGTGTTGTCTTTAACCTTGAAAGCTTGTGTTTGACACCCACCTGTACCATGGTCTACTGATCTACTCGAGGCATTTAAAATGAGGTAACTCATAGTTGTTAATTAGGCTTTCTAGATGTTTCTAATAGCTTCTTATATTGGCAGATTGAGTGTGTTGATATACCAAGATGATGGAACACGGGATCTCAGTTAGGTCTATTTCCATCCCCAACCATCCTCCTTTCAACATGCATCCAAATTTAATCATGGATATTTGAGCCTAAGAAAACTTATTAATCAAGGTTGTTCTCCTCTTGAGCAGGAGGGATAATTAACTATAAGGTTTTGCTACTATAGGGATTCTTAACCCTAGATTTAAATAAACCTTAATGCTATCATTAGTGGAAATCTGATTAAAATAAATTAATCTTTCTAAAAAAAATTACTCTTAGGGTCCTCTCGTACACATGGAAAGGCCTTGGGGAGGGGATTGGCGTTTCGTGATCGATCAACTACATATGTTGCAAGTGAAGTCATCAACGATGAAAGGCTTATAAACTTCATTATTTCCTCGGTTGTATTTTCATGAGGGTTCTAGGGGATTGGGTTGTTGGTGATAAAGATGCAAGCTTACCTTAGTTTAAAATTAAAGATTTAACTTTAACAGTTAGACTATTCCTTCAAAATGAACATATTATTGAGCATTTGATTTGTTATTTATGGATTATAAAGTTGAAGTTGTACTTTGGGTTTTCCCCCATTCCTGATTCTACTAGTTTTTTTAGTGTTTAGTGTTCATAGGCAGCTAATTCATGCCAATATACATTTATGTTATTTCTTAATGATGATCTCTTTATTAAATTTTATTAATGATGACCTCTTTATTAACTTATGTACACTAATGAACCTTATTAATAAAAACAATTGTTGAATGTTTTAACCCACCATAAGATTCTGTTAAAAGTATTAATTTTATTTTTTATTTTGAGAATGATTTTTTGGTTTTTCTTGTGTCCATGATGCACATTTAGCCTGCACTCTGTATATTGACAGCCATATATGCAAGTATAATTGGTTTAGCACTTGTGGTATCATGTTTATATACTTCAATACTGATGCTGCTAAATGTCAGTTCTGCTGCTGCATCTTCACATGTTGCACCTATAAATGCTGGAAGCACAGATTGGTTAGGCAGTGCACATGGCTCCAAAGCGGGTTCTCTATCATCAGCTGCTGCACAAGCTCCCTGGACTTCCTTGAGCAACAATTTTGGTAATTCTTCACCAGGATCCCTCGAAATATTATGTAGACCATGGGAAAGGGGGGATTTACTACGGAGACTAGCTACATTTGAGCCATCAAATTGGTTTGCAAAACCAAAGGTTCGCATTCAAACTTTTTTCTTTTCAATGCACAGCAGTCACAATGCGTTTGGTTCTGATCATCATTAAAATAAATTTGTAAATAAACTTTATGAAAAATATTCTGTGAAAAGCATAGGACATCAGATTCCTTGTTTGCTGCACCTTTTGTTTTTCTCGTCTGATCCTTCAATATCTAAAAGATTGAATTTGCACGTTCATGCAATAGTATGTAAAGTGAGGGAAATGAAATGAATTCCCAGTAATTTTGTAGTAGATAATGAATCTTTAGCCGTTAGCTTGACCTTTCCAAACTTCTATTTTTCATTTTCCTTCATTAAAATTCCAGCATCAGCCTTATTAATTAATTTAAAGATAAGTTAGAAGTAGCACAAAGTTTCCGCACTTAGATGTGCTACTCAGGCCTTGTTTGATCTTGCTTTCATAATTCAATTTTGATACTGTTAGGTCAACTCTAAGATGCTGTTATGGAACAGAATAACTCCACACCATATCCATCCAGTTTATATAGGCAGTGAATAGAATGCTCACCCCATTGCACTTGACGCCACACTTGTTGGTCTTCAATTTCCTCATGTAATTGATTTGACTATGATTCATGAAAAGTTAGATTATTGAGAACGCTGTGTTAAGGAGTAAAGCTATTAGTGATTTATTTGGGGCCGCTTTTACTATTTTGTTTTTCAGACTACTGGCACAAATTCGTTTGTCTATTGCTTTCATGTTGAAAATTTGATCTATTATAGTGTGGTAGCAGTAAGAAAGTCGTCATCCAACTTTTTCAAAAATGAAAATATTTGTAATACTTATATTAGCTTTAAAAAAGTTGCTTTCTCTATGAAAATTCTACAACAATCTTTGCAAGACTCTGCAGCCGCTCTAAACTCACCCTAAGTTTACCCTTGGATGCACTAACTTCCTTTGTTTTCAGGTTCAACTAGTTGCCTGGTTAATTAAATAAGGCGTCATAGAAAATCTTGATTTTGTATCCTTTCAACTTTTTAACTTTTCCCAATGAAGTTATGGTAGTCCTAGGCAATGCTTTTTCTAACATAATGTGTCTACACGCCTGTATTTTATAATGGGTTTGTGCACGTGGTATCATTTTTTGGATCGTTGCCTATCGGATAGCTTTGTCAAGTCTTAGATTTAATTTTGGGTGCGTTTGTTATTTTACTTGCGCATCTGTGTATATCTGGGCAATCCAATCCATATGTGATTGGTATAATGCTTGCTTGTTACCATGTACTCAAATTTCAACTCATGTTATTCTTTTGGTTATGCTTTATAGTGAAAGACCATTCAGGTATGCCATCCATGTCACAATCCAAAAGATTCGGGGCTATCTTGCCAAGTCAACCCAAAAGAATTTTGGTGATGCTGTGGTAGGTTGGGGAGTTATTAGGTGATATGTAAAATTATGATTGACAATATTGGCTAAAACAATCTGTTAAAATTTTGGGCGACCCATCAACCTTGAAATAACCCGAATAAAGCGGCTGAGTTGTGTCATAATTTATTCTAGCACATCCTTTCGAATACTTTCAGATTAAAACTCAGTTGTGGTACGAAAGGAAAAAAAAAAAAAAACCCATCAACTTGAAGTCATCTCATTGATAGTGCAATCCATCACCAATGTAAGCTTCAGAAGTTGTGTTTGCGTTACGGAACACATTTATTTTTGGTTGTTATATCAAATCAACTTGAATCCAAGCTACAAACTTCAGTTGGCAACTGCAAATCCACAAGTATAATTAGCATAAAGCAACAATATATGAATATAATTTTGTACATTACAATTATTTAAATTATGTCCAACATGGTTATATTTCAGTTTAAAATGAGGTTCTGTTGTTGTTGAAAAGACCCAACATATTCCTAAACAAATCAACTTGAACCTAACCCGCAATCCTCAGTTGGCAATAGTAAATATGCATTAAGTATAGTATGCATAAAGCATATTGTGCTTATTATAACAATTATGAAGATAGTTATTACTGAATAAGCTTTAATTAAACTTACGTCCGTTATTGTTATCTTTAGCGGAAAACCAAGTTCTTTTTCTGTTTAATCGATCTGAAGTAGTCTCTATGTTTAAGAATCAAGCCATATAACTAACAAAACCTTGAATATTAGTCCTTTTTTTAATTTTAGGCGAGGATTGAGTTAGAATGTGTTTTCCTGTCAACTTACCAAATTCTCGAAGTTTATTTTGAGTTTGCTGGAATTTTTTTTTGAGTTTGGGTGGCTTGTTTTCTTTTTTTTTTTTTTGATATAGCGAGCCACTATAGTTTTCATAATGGTGAACTGAAATACTTCCAAACAGGATTACTACTATTGTGAATTTGTATATCTGCGTATGAAGGTTATTCTTTTCCCAGTGGTTGCTGCACTTCCATTTCAACAAAATTTAACATATGAAAGCATCTTCATATATGACGTTCAATACAAAATTTGGCCAACAGTATGCCCAAAATGTACTAAGCATCTATAATATAGAAGAGAACACAAACTAGAGGAGGTATTTTTTCGTACAAAATGGTTGATATTTTCCATCTGCAAGTGTATTTCATTTTTTTCCTTACGTACTCCAGGTGTCACCCCTATGTATTCTCTATGGTACAACACAAGTCCTATGTTTAACTTCATTACATTCTCATCTTTCCTCTAATTGTCAGAGGCAATAGTTTTTCCTTCCAGCCCGTCTTCATTTACATGTTTATCCATCCATTTGTATCACATATAATACACAAACTACGATAATGGTTTTGGGTTTGATGATGAATATCCAAATTGTTCAATCGTACATCAAGTGACATATCCAGAAAACTTACCTTGCATGTCCGATGAGATGCATGATTTATTGTCAGACTCTTGCTTCTTTAATTTTTTTTTTTGTAATACATTTAATCACGTTATCCTTTCTGTGTTAAGAACATGTGCAGATTTATCTATCAACAGTTATTTTTTCATCCTTTTGAATGCAACTATTATAATACAACCTGCAGGGCGCAAGTTCTCTTTCCTGTGCTCGAAGGGGTTGGGTCAACGTCGGAAATGGCAAAATTGAATGTGAATTATGTGGCTCATTCCTGACATTCACTAAATCAGTCTCACGGACAATTGATGGAGGTTTTAATTTGCGTTTTGCTTCTTTGTTTTGTTTTGCAATTTATTGTTTCTTCTCTTTGGGGATATATGCATATACATATAGAATAGAGATATGGTATTTGATTGGAAAAGCAGCTTGAATTTCTAATAAGAGAAGTGAAGATTTGAAGAGCACTGCTTGAATAGCTAGAGAATAGGTTAGTATTTTTCTTTTCATGCAAAGGAAGAGATTTATTTTTAAATGCTCAATCTGAAATATATATTTCGGCTCAAAAGGTGAAGAATGGAATGGACTGGTTTTGTTGATTTGGGAAGAAACTTAGAAGTTTAAGTGTTTAACCATCTGTTACATGCCCTTTTAATGGTAAAATATATTTTTATTAATTTCAATGTTTCATATTGTAAAACTCTTTTCATTTCATCTAACAATTTTTTTTTTCTTTTTTCCAAATGATCCTCTCATTTTGATAAGAGTCTTTTTTAGGGATTCATTGTGATGCAACATGATTATTAAATAAATGTATTAAATTTAAGCATGCTTTAAATACGTTTGACATATATAAAATAAGTGACGTATGATTTCTTTCTTTTCTAGTCGTAGTCTGTTTTAGAGAAGTATTTCAGTCTCGACTTTATATACGGAACCTAGCCTTGTATTAGAAATCATTATATAATGAATTGAGATTTCAATTTTTTATAGCCTAGGGTTTTTAGTCATTGTTTTGTCTATAACTTTTGTTTCTTTCCTATTGGGGTGTGCATTTGTCTGACTTCTTTGCCCCTTTCTTCTCTTCATCTTATAGGTTCTCTTCTTATACCGGATCCTTTTAACTCTTGTTGCTTTTCTTCGTTATCAAGGTATCAGAGCCCAACCTTGATTTTATCCGCCTTTACCCGATGTGCTTTGATGCCTTAATCTCCTGCAATTTTCATTATTGTATGATCCCGATTTCAACTTCACTTGCATCCTTGCTTGCTGCATGAACACCCAATTGTGACTATTTTTGCAACATAACTATTTCAATATTACTTTGTTTGTCACTCTAAGTCGCTCTTGCAACTCTTGTTTCACGTCATGCACTTTGGCTCGTTGTTTCATGTGATTACGACCCACTGTTCACCCCTATTTCTTAAACTCAACACCCATATGAAACTTCTTACTCCACCTCTTTGCTACCACGACTGCAATACATGCCCTTTCCGTCTCATATGTGCTTGCGAATTGCAATAGCATGCCTTCCCTGCAAAACCGCAAGTCGCAGTCAGGAGCAAACACTGCTCCTTCGTAGATAACAAACTCCAATTTATGGCTTCCACTTTGCATAAAGCACTTGCATTATGCTTGCTTTCCTACTCATGCTTGCAACCCTCGCACACCTTGCTTCTGTGCTTTCTCACATGCAATCCTTTTTCCCGATCCTACACTAACCACTAATTGCACTTCCCCTTCCCGTTCGCTTCCCCTCTTGGGTTGGCTTGACTAGCTCACACATTATATCACATCTCCCACTTTAATGCAAGTCCCCACATTTCTTATGATGGCTCCATTCGTGGATCTCATTGCACTGTTTACCTCCTCAGATTTGCTGCATCCTAGTGGCAGACCCGTATTGTACACACTCGAATCGATAGCTACATTATCACTAGATTAAAAAAATTAGATTCAATTTTAGTTAAATCAAGTTGATCTGACAAGTATCATTGAAATCTGGTAAGGTTTTAGATATCTTTCTAGAGTTGATCATGCTCTTGAAAATGCATGAAGAAAATCTTAGAGTTTGTTGAAATAGTGATGCTCATTCCCTTCTTCTCTCCCTTTTTGGGATGGATTTTCCATTCGTTTTGTCCTCTCCATGATGGACTTCCCACTTTTCTTTGAGATTAATTTTGCTAGCTTTACATACAGTTGAGATATTGAGTCCTTTCTCGAATAGTTTAAATCTCTTGAATAGAGTACTTTGCAGCCCATGAGAATTGATGTAACATTATTGTCAAGTAAATGCCTTAAATTTTAACATGATACAATAATGTTATATATATATATATATAGTATTTGCATTCTGAGTCTATAAAATGAGTGCGAGCCTTATATGAGGGATCATTACGTGATGAATTGGGATTTGAAAATTCTTGTACCCTCCCCTTCTCTGGGAATTCAAGTTACTATTTTGTCTCTACACCTTGCCTCTCTCTGTCTCTCTTGAGGTGTACATTTGTCTAATTTTAGACCCCTTTTTCTCTTTACGGATTACTCAGTTAGTTCTCTTATAATGAATTTTTCAAACTCTCAGAGCTCATCTTCTCTCTCTTTATTTAAATTTAAATCACATACACATGTAGTTATAGGACAAAACAACAAAACCCTTTTAGTTTATTATTTTAGCAGATCATTTATAATATTTCTTGATTGGAAAAATATTTTTAATCCACTGGTCATGTAGTTGCCACAATTGAACTGAAAGTTAACAAAAAAACCAGTTCTTTGTTGGCGACAGGGAACCCTTTCTTAGCTGGCCCAATGAAGCAGAATTATATAAGATGGTAAAGCACCACTTTAGTTCTTCTAATTGTTAAACTAACTTGATATTCTGATTTTCTATTGGATAAGTTTGTGTAAGATATGAAGGCTTGTGTCTCGCTCAAGCATTCGTTTTAAGCTTGAGTTCATTGGCCATATAAAGGGTGTCCACTCTCAATGTGAACATGCTATGGTGAACTTGGCGATACAGAATATCATGGCCTCGCGAGCTCATACAAACAAGCTCACTAATGATTAAGGCTTAATGGTATGCAGATCTATGAGAACTATAACACACCGAGATAAAAATACAGGATTTACTTTAGAATCATCCATCAACTATTGATTTGACTATTCGGCAAAAAATCAATTCTTGTAACCAAATTTATCTCAGGCTTATGCCTTCCTTGTTAGTAATTCAATTTTAATTGATGATAAAAACCACAGTCTACTCTGTTTAGATTTTTTGTTAAGCTCTCAAACCCTCAACCTCTCGTTCCTTACCTATTGGCTTTGGTCTCTAGTTATAGGCACGATCAAGAAAATTATAGATGTGGTGGCTAGGTTGGTGTAGGATGCAATCATTTGTTGTAATGTCTTTTCTCCTCCCTCTTTGACTGACAAAAGTAGAATGCAAATTTCTTGCTTATGCCCTTCCTTCAAGGCGTGCAATTTTAATTGATGATAAACTGCTTAGTCTCCAACATTGTAGCTGCTCTCTTTAAGCTCTTTGTTTCATCGAGCTCTCCAACCCTCAACCTTTGGTTCCTTACATATCGGCCTTGATCGTCAATTCTAGGAGCAGTCGTGCAAATCATAGATGTGGTGGCTAGATTGGTGTTGGCAGTGATCATTGTCGTAATGTTTTTTTCTCTTGCCCTCATTGTTATCACGTAAAATCATCATTTCAAATTTTACTAATAGAAATGTTGCCCCCCTCCCCCCACCCCCCATATTTGGAGCTATGATGCACGGACACTTATCCTCAAAGAGGCGTGCAATGTCTGACTTGTATCCGACACAACACTCATTAGACACGCCTTAGACACGTGTCGAACATATCGAAAATATGTCCGATTAAAAACTATGTCCTCTAACATTCATCATCATTATCTTCTTCAAATAGTTGGGATAACACTGATCTTGATGATGATTTGTGCAACATGGAGAGAGAGAGAGATTACTTATTTAAATTATATTTTTCTTATTTTTCTTTAGTATTGACACTGATTTCACTGAATTTGACTTTTTTCGAAACAAGTAAGAAGTTAGAACAATTAAAGAAATATTTAGAAGATAAAGTGATTAAGATTAGTGGCATAAAAACTGAAGTTATGATATCTGAATTTTGTTGGGTATTATTCATCACCATAAGTTATTAATATTATAAAATGTTCTTGTTGTGATATGTTTAAATATTTTGGATTTAGTATATAAAAAAATGATGGTATCTATAAAAATAAAAAAAATCCAAAATAGTCCCCATATTATTTATGTTGGTCAATTTAGTCAATTATACAAAATTGATCCAAAATAGTCTCTCATGTTGTAATTGTGATGTAAAATTGATCCCAATTTAATCCATCAACTTTACAAAATTGATCACAATTTAGTTTCAAAGGGATCATTTTGGATCAATTTTGTTTAGAGGGACTAAATTGGAGCAACGTTATACTCGGGGACTAAAACAACCTTATACAAATAGTCGGGGGATTATATAGAAATTTAACCCTGTAATAATATAACTTCTAGAGTTAGAATTAGGTGAATGAAATTGCAAAGTGTCTGCGGAGTACTAAACAATAAGATAATATTGTGGAGTCTTGTAGCTAATTGGTGAAATTATCGTTACACTAGTTATGTTACACACATACATGTGTTGGGCGATCATGAAGTCACCTGAAACCAAGTTGGTTATGAAAACAATGTGAATGCTAAGATATATGTCAAAATTTGAAATGATAAATTGATGATTAAGTCTTCGTTTGGGATGGTTTATGTTTTTTAAAAAGCAATGTTTTAGTAAAAAAAAAATTTAATTCAAAAAATTTTTGTACTGAAAAGTTATTTTAGAAAGCATCAAGAAAGTTGTCCCAAACAAAACCTAATTGAGAGAGATAGTAGAAGTATCACATATTGAAGGCAAAAATAGCAGAAAAATTGAGTAAGGTGCTTTGGGCATGTAAGATGAAGGGTTGAAGATATACAACAATGAAAAACAGATAAAATTAATATGAAAGGGTTATGAAGGAAAATGGGTAAACTATGGGTAGAGTTTGTGGGATTTGTGCAAAATAGATTTAACACCTCAAGCAACATTGAATTTGACCAAAATGCAAAATCAGGGTTAATAAAATAAACCTTAATTGTTGGGGGTGATGATGATGGACATTGATTTGAGTAGTTAAATGAAATGTAGAAAACTTAAGAGAACAGAAGAGGCAAAAGTAAGCAAATTAATAATGAAGAAATACCAACTATGTTTACACGTTCCTATCTCTCTTTCTCTTACTTCAATATCCAGTTCAGCAAACCCCATTTTAAGACTTATTTTAAAGGCATCCATCACAAAAGAACAACAAATACTTATAATTCAGTGAAAACTGCCATCTGTGATACCATTTGTAACAATTAATTAATTAATAGGTACATATTATTTATTAAAGGCTATATAATGAGTTAAAGATCTATATTTATTTGTCTATTTGAAGGATACCAGTCAATTTCCCATTCTACACCCTCGTCTGACTTTGTGACTCAATTTTAGAAAGACCAATGTTTATTGATTCTCTAACCACTTTCTTATGCGCCTTGAAATATTCTCTGCCTTCATCACCAACATAACTAGCCACTCTTCAGGCTAGCGTTTAGTATCTAATTAGTTAATTTAAAAAAAATTATAAACTCAGAAGGGAAGTTTGGCATTCTTAGAAGGCTCTGTCTAAAAATGAAGCCCCCTTTCTTTCAGCCTGAACTCTTAGAAAACAAACAAATTTTCTTTCATTTTGTAAATTAAAATGAATAGTAGAATGGAAATTTCCAAATGATGCACTTTGAACTTCGTTTGGTTGACTAGTGTAAAGGATGGAAGGAGTACTTTTGTCATAAAAACGTTATATCTAGTATGTATTATGCTGCGATTTACAAGTTAATCTTTAATTTAGTTTGGGGCTGGGTTTTCAAGAGAATTAATTCATATTGTTTGTGGCTAAAAATATTAAATCGTGGATTCTTGTGTAACGTCGTAGCTTTACAATTCTTCTTTGTGTTTCTTGAATTGTTTGGTGGATTGATCTTGCTCTACTTTGCCTAACCAAGTTAAAACCACGAATTCCGATGTTCAATCTTTTGCTATAAGTGATAATTTTACTTTGGGATTATGTGTTTAAATTGTTCTCGTTAATTTCTTAATGTAACTCCATCGCATGTACGTTTCACATCATAAAGTTTCTGTTTGGATTAATTATCTTTATGATTCTCTCTTCCAAGTTCCAGTAAAAGCCATACAGAAGGACCTACTTTCATCTTTACTTGTATCATTGTTGTTTTATTATAGTTGGTCATGATGGAGAAGCCTTTACTGAGAAGCTTGATTCTGGTCACAAAGTCACATGCCCTTGGAAAGGAAATTGCTGTGCTGACAGTCTGGTGCAGTTTCCTCCAACTCCTGCATCAGCGCTTATTGGAAGTTACAAGGACCGGTGTGATGGACTCCTGCAATTCCCCTGTCTGCCACTAATAGCTTCGTCTGCAATTGAGACCATGAAACTGTCAAGATGTGCACAGATTGAGCGCATCCTATCACAGTCTCTATTTTCAACTGGAGAGATGGGATTTAAAACTGATAGCATGCCCATACCTGAAATATCTCGAGAGGATCCCTTCTTCCATCATACTCAGGCATGATCGTTATCTCTTCTTTAGATTTTTATTGATTTGTTCATATTGCATTTCAACATGATGAGTTTTTCTGATGTTGTTTCTAGTTATCATTTTCTTCTTCATCTAAATTTTGGGTAGGCCCAGAAGCTTATCAGTCTTTGTGGTTGGGAGCCTAGATGGCTTCCAAATGTGCAAGATTGTGAAGAGTATTCAGCTCAATCTGCTAGAAATGGATGCTCATTTGGTCCTAATGAAGATGGATATCCCTATTCACGTTGTCCTGAACCAACCAAACATGCACTTTCCGCATCAGCAGAACAGAAACGAGGAAAAGAAAAGCTAGTTGAAGAATCATGGTGTGATATGAGATCTCCTTTATTAGATTGTAGCCTATGTGGTGCCACCATCAGAGTTTGCGACTTCTTGACAGTTCCTCAGCAGGCACCTCCTGGCTCCAACAACATTAATAATACAGATAATTGCAAAAAAATAACCCCAACACATGGAACTAGTGCTGCTAGTGGAATTAACGGGGGGATTGGTGTAGGTGGAATGGAGAGGGATCAGATGGAGGACCGCGATGAAGCAGCTACCACTGATGAGAAGAAATCACCTTCTAATGCTGTCGTGAATTTGAATCTTAACGCCGCTGATGGATTCCCATCTACCATGCCTGCTGAGGGTTATCCTTTAGATGATAGTCGTATGGGCATAGATCTTACACTTGGTCAACCTGCTGGAAGTGAGGTTGGTGATCGTGCTGCTTCGTTTGAATCAAGGGGTCCTAGCAGTAGGAAGCGTAGCTTAGAGGATGGAGGGAGCACAGTTGATAGGCCACAAGATAGGATACAGCAGGCTGACAGCATAGAAGGAACTGTTGTTAACCGTGATGATGATGAAGTTGATGGAGGCACACATGAATCTGATGGTCTTTCTAAGCGTGCCCGCCGGCTAGATGTCTTCCATTCCCAGGATTTATCAAACAAGTTGAACTCGTCGGGTGCTGGACCCAGTCACGGTTATCTTGATTTAACAATCAATCGTCTGAACTCCTTCAAAGATGGAAGTGATATAGCTGTTGGTCATCCAAACACTAGAAATTCTGCTCATGCATCATCTGTTGTTGCAATGGATACCATCTGCCGTAGCGATGATGAAGACTCTATGGAAAGCGTTGAAAATTGTCCTGGAGATGTTGATTACGTTAATTTTAATTACACAAATGGTGCGTCAGAATTTGACAATAGTAATCTCGCGCAACAGAGCACCTGCTTACCTCATGGTGCTGGAAGTGTTGCCAGAGAAATGGGTGGAAGCAGTACGATAGAAGGTGAGGAAGTACTCAATGCAGAAACTTTCACTGTTAGTGCTAGGGATAGGTTTAGTTTAGGGATCAGTGCAGGTAGTGTCGGTGTGGGTGCCAGTCATGAAGCTGAAATTCATGGGATTGATATTTCTCTGCGCCGAACTTACAGTGCTGTTGGTGAGGTAGGGTTGATAGCAGAAGTAACTGAAAATATGGGCCAAAGTGGTGAATCTGCTCCAGGACCGGGACTAATGGATGAGTTTGTTCCTGATGAAATTCTCAGGGAGGGTCCTCACAGTGATATGCAAGATACGATTTCTAGATCTGTAGAAAAGGCTGATAGTGGCTCAAAGGTGTATGGTTCCATTAAGGCTGACTCTATTGAAAGTGGGGAAAAGATGAGCCATACGTTGGGTCATGAAAGCAGTGCCCATCCTTCACTCTCCTGCAATGCAATGATATGTTCTGTTAATGAAATATCCAGGGGGGAGGTGATGCAGACTGGAAAAGAAACAATTACTTATGATTGTGCTCTGGTTTCTGATAATGTCATGGGCATTAGCTCAGGTAATTATCACTCATACCAACGTATTGCACCAGCTTATTAACCTGGTTTTGTCTTCTTGCATATAGTATGCTTCAAACTTACACCACCTTGAGAAAACTGCCTCTTTAGTCTACCTTTATTTGCATCCATTTGTTTCAGATATTGGGTATTGACCAGTTGATCACACTGTTTCTCAACATTTCTTTCTTCTAGTTTGCCTTTTCTCTTATGATGTATCTCATTTATTAATGTAATTGTCTAAGATAAAGTTTAATTTGGCATCTTTTACTTCTTTCTTGTCATGTAAGCCTCCTATATGCTACATCTTTGCATATCTACTCTTTCAGTAAATTTGAAATGATTGCTCCTAATGTTGTTTGATTCTGGATGCTACTAACGATTTACCTGGTGTAGGTTGTTTTGTTAGTCTTTGGCTTGAACTAGTGTCGCCGATGTTTATTCAGATTATTGGTGCTTGTTTATGCTTAATTACTCTTAGTTGGTCAAGTTTATCATGCAAGTATAACTTAGTCTGCTGAAACTCTTCATTGTCTGTTATCTTTTTCATTTAAATTTGCATCCATGAAGTATGCTCTAGCAAGAAAGTTATGAATTAAATTCTGAAAGATTGGTTAGTCCAGTTTTTCCTATTTAAACAAATCTCTGCCTTCATAATATTTAAGAAGTCCAATAATGCTCTCTTGTCATGAGGGCAACATTACTGAGCTATATGTGGACATTCCTGGTTGAGGGCCTCTTCTCAAAAATTAATGTCCATTCATTATTCCTCCCACTTTTTTTTTTTTTTTTTTACAAAATTATTTTCTGTTAGATCATGGTTGTGGGCTCATTTGGTTGTTTGTGTATAGGAGACATTTTAGAAAATGATATATTTTTTTAACTCATCATCGTCGTCATTGTGTAATGTGCATGCACAGCCCATAGGAAGTGTCATTGTGCCAAGGTGGTAAACTTAAGAGATGCCTTTCTTAGTTTTTTTTTCTTGTTGAATGCACAAAACGGACTTTCTTTTGCAAATTTATCTTCTGAAGTCAGGTACTGTACTACTCTGTAGGCTTTCCCCCAACTTATTTCATTAAGCTCAGGTCTCATTGTGATGAGGACATCGACAGACATTATCGACGAATATATCAACACAAGAGTCGTAAATCGATGGCTACGATCCAGAGTCTTTATTTTGATGCTTTTATGTATTAATTGCTATTTATGGTTGTACCCTTTCTTTTGAGTTTGCTTGAGTTGTAGCCCTAGGGGCATATGAGTCATTGTCTTTTTATTTTTTTAGGCCTATATATTATGACCTCCTCTATTGTATTGGATGATGAATTATGAATGAAAATTTCAGATTTCTTGGTTTGATCTCTTAGTGAGTTCTTGAGAGGAGAAACCCTAGGAGAGGGTGAGAGTAATACTTGTCAACCTTTGGAGGATTCCAAGGTTCGCGGCCCTGATCTTTTCTTCTTCCCCTATATACATCTCCTCCCCTAGCCACTAGCCACCCAACCGCCACCACCCATCCGCCAGCCTCCCCCAAACCCAATTCCCTTATCTTCTTCCCAAACCGAGCCCCTTACCCCCACTCCGCCGGCCTCCAGTGGCTGCCCAAGCCGCTGGCCACTACCCCCATTCGCCGGCCTCCACCCCTCCACCCACCCATTTCCACAAACCTAGCCGACGGCCGCCCTCCCATTGATTCATAAATTTGAAATTCAAATTTCAAAAGCCCATTACTCTCTTTCCTAAAATAGATTTTGGTAATTAGGAAAGCTTCCTAATGGGGATTCAATTAATTAATTGAATTTTCAAATACTTTCCTACTGCTTAAATCTAAGATAGGAAACCTCCCAATTTAATTAAATCTGAGATTAAATTCAGATTTGATTAAAATCCTTATTAATTTCCTTGGGGCCCACATACTAAACATAAAACTCCCTCTCTCCCCTCTCTACATGGCCAGCCCCCCTTCCCCATGTTTTCTCTCTCCAATCCAATTCAAAATCTCAATTAATGCTCCCCTAATCCTCTCCTAAAACCGCTGGCCCCCTAACTCTAATTTGGGGATATTTTGAATTCGCATTAATTTTCCCTCCCTCTCTAATTCGAAAATCTGAAATTAAAAATCAGATTTTCTTTTCTAAAATAATTCTCCAACTCTCAACCAACTCACATTACCTCCACTTCACCTAGCCCAAGCCGCCCCTCCCACGTGCCTCTTCCCTCTTGGAAACCCAACAATTCTTATGTTGTTGGAAGCCAAAGAAGAATACAACCTTCTCCCCCTTTCTCCCCACTAATGTTTGGCCGATCCTGAGATCGACCACGGCTTCGCTTACAATGCACAAGGAGAGATCGACATCCTCTGTTCTCCTTTCTACGAACCAGATTGGGAGTACGATGACTCGGTGGAACGCTACGTCAACCGCATCGTTTACTGCCTTGCCGAGACGATCGAGCTTCAACGACCCAGAACACCTTGGCTCCTCGTCGGAAGATCCACGCATCCTCCACCGCCAGCTACCTTCCCAACAATAAAGTTCCTCGGTTCTCTCTTCCTAGTGGTGGTCTCAAGTCTAGTGTGGAGTATCTTCATCCGCTAAGCCTAAGAGTAGTTGAGTGAGAAACCCCTCAAGGTGAATCTTTCATTATTAAATTCCAGATTTCTGTTATAAGCTAGTAACTTTACTATTGCCTTAGTACTTGATTAAGAGCTTTTTGGTTAACATTCATGTACTTATTTGCCTAAGCGAGTGGAAAACTACGAATTCATAAAATCTTTTTTTTTATTTGACGCATAATTTTATATTGGTCAACTTTTAACAATTTCTTTTATTAATCTCTCGCTAACTCTTTGCATGTTTCACATCATCTTGGTATCAGAGCATGGCTAGCATGCGTCATTCATGCTAGAAGTTATCCTAGGAGTCTACTTAACCATCCGTTAGCTTGTTTGCATGCCTACCATCCCTTTTACTTTTATAAATCCCTGTTTTTGTTTGCTGTCCAATAACTTCCTGCACTTATTTAGTGAACCTTAGACTAGTTCAATAAGTATTTTAAGTGCTGTCCTCAACCCAACAACCTTCCCTATTACCTAGGCTACTTAAACCACTTTTGTAGCTTGCTGTCCACACAGTCCTTGCATCATTTATTGACATTTAGAGGGTTTTAACTTAATGTGTTACTTGCTGTCCCCTATCTAGTTACCATCCTACGTAATCCCTAGTGTCTACCCATGGATCCGGACCAAATTCAGACGACTTTAGACCTCATTGTTGGTCAATTGGGCACGGTTACTCAGCAAATTAGAGACACCCAAACTGATTTAGTGGACTTTCGACGCCAAACTGGAGAACGCCTCGATAATATCGAAAGGCTAGGAAATCCGATAATATACACACCTTCTAGACCTCCCTCGCCTTATGTTGAAGAAGCTCGAGCTGACTACAGACCTCCGCGGGAACCTTACCCTCCTCAACATAGACCCAATCATGAGCCTGTAGAACATGAACCAATTTGGAGAGATAACGAGGCTCAGTTGTTGAAAAACATCCGAATAGATGCCCCTTCCTATGGCGGCACCCTCGACCCTCGAGTCTTTTTGGATTGGCTCAGAGGGTTGGATAGTTATTTCAAATGGTATAACATCTTGGAGGCTAGGAAAGTTAGCTTCACGAAGATGAAGCTTACAAGAAGAGCTAGCCAATACTGGACAAACTTAGAGAACTTGCGCGAAGCTCGAGGTGAACACCCCATCATCGACTGGCGAACCATGAAGTAAGAACTCAAGCGGAAATACCTCCTCCTCATACTACCCCAAGCTCTTAGATAGATAGAATAGACCAACTCATGGGAGTAGACCTGTAAAAGAGTATATCTCCACTTTTGATGACTACATGATTCGTTGTAGCGGAGAAGAGACCACTACCCCTGCCCAAATCCTTTCTGTGTTTAGAGCTGGCCTTAGGGAAGATCTTCGTAATGAACTCTTCGCCAGAGGAGTTGATACGTTGGAAGCCGCCTGCAGCTTAGTACTCAACCTGGAAGAGTCTAAGACCCATTCCCATTCGAAGCACGTAGAAACCCGCCCACCTCCGTTTAGAAGCTCCTCCAGTCAACCTCAAACCCGACCTAATGGCCCTGTGAGTACCCGACCAACTGCTAGCCCAGCTCAACCTCGCCCTGATTTTAGGGGTAAGACTCCCTAGCGTCATACTCCCAAAGCCACTTATGAAACCAAGTGTTATAAGTGTTATGGATATGCACACATTACCTCGCAATATTCTAGTCCATATAAGGTTACCATAATCGAAGAGGTTGAAGAAGACGAGGAAGAGCCTGAGACTGATATAGTTCATCACATTGATGAGGAAGAAGACTTCTTCTGCGAAGATAACCCCGTTGACCTACAAGTCGTTAGATGTGCGTTATCCCAACCAAAGCCGAGTGATCACTGGCGTATGACCTTCATTTTCCATACCTTTACTAAGATTGGAGAGCTGTAAGGTCATCATCGACAGTGGAAGCTACATCAACGATGTCTCTTCTGCGATGATATCCAAACTTAAGTTAAAGACGACACCCCACCCGAATCCTTATAAGGTTGCTTGGATTAACTCGATTTTCATGGAGATAAAAGATAAGAGCCTTATTCCCCTCGAGTTTGTTGGATATTAAGAGAAGATTTGGTGTGACGTGTTGACGATGGATGTGGGTCAAATTATCCTTGGTCGCCTTTGGTTATTTGACAATGAATTTCACATTTATGGGAGGACAAACACCTACGTGTTTTAGCATAATGGCAAGAAGATCATACTAGTTCCCTCCCAACCTAAACCCAACAAAACTGAAGTTAAACATGTCTTTAAATCTAGCAAAGGTTTAAATTTGTTAACTGCAAAGGAAGCCGATGTTGAACTGAGCAAAGGAGCCCCTATGTATGCCCTAGTGGCCCGGGAAGCAAGCGCGGAGCTAGGAGAACCTATCCCGGAAGAGGTCCAAC